CGAGGATTATCAGCCGCGGTGGCGCCGTCGAATCCCACGGCGAAGACCTCGTTTCCGATATGGCAAATACAGTGGTAGATATCAGTATCACAAGCCAACGACGCCAAAGCCCACAACCACGGGGTCCCCATCCACGACGTCAACAAGCACCACCATAATTCCAGTTACTTGGCTTCGGATGATCGCGTGCCCTCAGAACCTGGAGGACGTGTTGTACCTTAAAAGTCCCCAATGACCCGTTTGGGCGCCGTATTTAAGGGTCATTTGAGATTTACAGGACATTTAGGCATTTAAGAGACATTTGAAAATCAAAAACACACATCAACGGTTTTCGCCTAAAACGGGCAGAACAAAGCAAATCGCCAATATTTGAAACAGTCGGGTGCTCAGTCCCGATCGCTACAGATTTGCTGCGCCCGCTTCGTTCTAGACCATCGGCCTCCGATTGAAGCGAGCTAGGCAGAAACGGCTCATCATCACTTTTTTGTTCTCTCGCGCTTTCTCTCCGCGTCTCTCGTTCGTCCCGGCCAACCTTCATTTCCCCACAAGCATAGCATAGCATAGCAGTATGCTCTGCTGAGCTTGCACAGATTTTCGGCGGTCCTGCACGTATTGACAGAGCTTTCCGTTTCCTGCTGTCGGCTGTGACAAAAGACCCTAACCCCACAGTGCGGTGCAAAAACCTTGACCACCTTACATACTGTATGAGTACACACTACATGCCTACTTCCGGTCGAAACCTATTCGCTCTTTCGAAATATCTCCTTCTGGCATGCACCCTACATGAATTCGGTAAATAATTTATCTATAAGGCTTACACTTTTAAACTTATGCAAATTTGAAACACCAAACCTTCAGCACAAAGGCTTCACGTCGCCGCGAAACCCAGTAATACTAGCTAGTTTACACGTACTATGTACCCAATATAGTGTCGCAGACACCAACTAAATAGAAAGAAAAAGGAGTGATTTCAAGAGTGGGGGCAGTATTCCAAGGGCGGTTTGTGATTTCTCCTTGCCGGCTTCTGCATATTGCCTATGTATCAATTAGAACCCAAGCCCAGGACCGGGATTTCGTCAAATTATTAAAGGGTATTTCGTGTTTTTTCAAGCTGCTGAATCATTGTATGCAAAAAGAACTTAGACCCAGGACCGTGATTTCGTGATCTTCCTCGTGTTCGGGGTCTTGATTACTTTGTGGTGTCTTGGGTGTTATTTTGTCAGGATGTAGTTCACATAGGTCAGAGGACGGACAGAAAGACAATGATTTTTTTTATAATAAACCCTAGACCCCAAACCATGAAACTCCAAACTTCGACTTCAAGGTGTAGGACTTTATAGGGTTTAGGACTTTAGGGTTGAAGGTTTAGGATTTTAAGGTCAGGGCTTAGGAATTCAGGGTTGTGGCATTTTCACTTTCAAGAAGTCCTCGCCGGCTGCTCGGGTATCTACCCAGGACCCTGACAACTTAACTACTGGAGGGATACCCTAAACCCCCAATTTAGCAGTCTCCCATACCTTACACCCTTTAAAACCGGACTCCCTCTAAGCCCTTTAAACCGACAACCAAAAAACCTAGACCCCCTAAGTCGCAAAGCTTCTAAAAGCCCCACACCCTAAGCTTTGTTTACGGCAGGCCTGTTTCGACAGTCGAAAAGGTCAGAGGAACGACCGTGATTTCGTGATATTTCGGGGTTTTTCGTGATCTCTCCCAGGCGGCTTCTCTATTTGTTAATATAACACCACAAACACGACCGAGATATCACGAGAAATCTCGTGAAATCCCGGCCCCGGCCTCTGGATGGCACGAAGAACACACTTTCGGTTGCAATGCAGCTAAAAACCACGCAGATCACGCATTATATCGCTCATTTGGGTGGGTTATAACTAACATTCCACGCTTTATCACGCTCACCATTTTCCAGAAAATGCACAGCCCAGTTTCGACTGAAGCCGGGATTTCCGGTGAATTTGGTCTGGGCACCGGGGCCGGGATTTCACGAGATATCTCGTGATATCTCGGTCGTGTTTGTGGTGCTATATTAACAAATTAAGAAGCCGCCTGGGAGAGATCATGAAAACCGTGGAAATATCACGAAATCACGGTCCTTCCTCCGACCTTTCGACTAGCGAAAGCGGCGTACAATAAACAAAGCTAAGGGTGCAGGGTTTTTACAAGTTTTGCGGCTCAGGGGTTCTGGGGTTTTTGGTTGTCGGTTTAAAGGGCTTAGGGGGAGTCCGGTTTCAGACGGTGTAAGGTTTGGGAGACTGTTAAATTGGGGGTTTAGGGTATCCTTCCAGTAGTTAAGTTGTCAGGGTCCTGGGTAGATACCCGAGCAGCCGGCGAGGACTTCTTGAAAGTGAAAATGCCACCAGAGTCCTGTTCCCTCCTAAACCCTGAACCCTAAAATCCTAAACCCTGAACCCTGAACCCCAAAGTGCTAAACCCTAAAGCTCTCTGCACCTTGAACTTGAAGTTTGGGGTTGCATGGCTCAGGGTTCGGGAGCTTCAGGGTGGCGAGCCACGAAGCTGGATTTAGGGTTTAGGGTTTATTCTAAAAAATCATTGTTTTCCGTCCGTCCTCTGACCTATGTAAACTATGTACTGACTCAACAACACCCAAGACACCACAAAGTAATCAAGACCCCGAACACGAGGAAGATCACGAAATCACGGTCCTGGGTCTAGGTTCCTTTTTCTTACAGTGATTTAGCCGCTTGAAAAAACACGAAACCCTTTAATCATGTGACGACATCCCGGTCCTGGGCTTGGGTTCTAGTTGATACATAGGCAATATGCAGAAGCCGCCAAGGAGAAATCACAAACCGCCTTTGGAATAAGCACCCACCTTGAATGACTCCTTTTTCTTTCTATGTAGTTGGTAGCTGCGACACACTATATTGATCTATATTGTGGACATGGCACGTAAACTAGCTCGTTCTACTGGGTTTCGCGGCGACGTGAAACCTTTGGGCTTAAGGCTTGGTGTGTCAACTTCTGCATAAGTGTAAACGCGTAAGCCCCTTATTACTTTCCGTAAGGTGCGCGCCACCAATGAAGAAGGAGATATTTCGAAAGAAGAATATGTTTCGACCAAAAGTACGCATGAAGTGCGCACATACAGTATGTAAGTAAGGTGGTCAAAGGTTTTAAAGCACTTTAGGGTTAAGTTTCTTGTTGTCGCACTCTTCAGCACAGGAACCGGAGAGTTCTGTCAATACTTGCAGGACGGGTTTGGCCCAAAATCGGTTGCTACTTGCTTTCCGTGCTCGGATAACTGAATTTTGAGCAAATTTTGGGAAGTCCGCGCAGTGTATCGCTTGAACACGGTGAAACTGGCGAGATCTGTCAAACTGAGCATTTTCGTTTCGAATCACCCGGAATCACCAGAGAGCATCGGAATTGGCAAGTTTTAAAAGTCATTTGAAACGCACCTTAAAATAAAGAACATTTGTTTTGGCGCACGTCGCGTATTTTTAAAGGACATGTGGTCCTCCAGGAAGTGCTGGCTCCCGCCTTGTTGCTGCCGGCACAGCAGCCGTTGTGTACGTGCCTTCTAACGTGCTGCAGAGTGGCGAGTGTGCTTATTTAGATGGGGGATTCGAGTCAACACAGATGTTTTGAGCGGTCTGGGCATTGTGGAGGATTGCAACAAATCGTTTTCATGTGATTTCGCAAGCTCTGCAGCGAACCATGTGTCACCAGTGCAACAACACAACATGCCGATGTAGTGCTGTAGCTGTACTGACTGTTTTGTCTGCCGTTGTGACCGTTGCAGGTGCCATCACAATGGATTTCAGCCCCCCAAGGCATGCCTTGCAATTCAGCGTGCTCTGCGCTCAACAGCGAAGGCAACATATTTCAGTGTGGCAAAGAAGAGATGGCAGCAATCAACACTTCCGCCGCAATATTGACCTTGCTCTCCGACCTGAACCTTACAGTGGCATGCTCGCCAACTCAGCCTAGAAATGATGGCGGGAGTCCTTTTACCACGCCGAGCGGAGGCTGTTACTATTGGAATTCGGGCCAACCAGCTGGAAATGTGGACTGCGATTCTGTCTTAAATGGAAACCGAATCCCGCTGTGCTACTGCGTTCCAGCTTTTCGGCGGCACATGGGCTCCTCTCGGCTTGCATGTCTGAGCTCCTAAACCCAAAGTGTTTCCGTCTAAGGGTCCGCCAGCTGCTTGGTTGCAGTCCGAAAGTGTTAGAGCAGAGCAGAGAGCAATTCTTCTCAGAGTGAGAGGGTTGTGGTGGTGCCTCGCTCTGCGCACCATCCTGCCAGGCACCAATTCCTGCTGCTTGGCTGCCAGTGAGGTGAATTCTGAAAGGAACGGAACCTTGAACCACTAACTAAGTGGTTCGGGCTCTCACCTGAAGATTGTTATGAAGTTCCTCGCTTTTGGCAGTATAGAAGAACTGAAGATGGACATTAGATAGACAAGGCTGTGTCGCCGACAGGGGGGCTTCCAGCCAGTACAGCGTGTTAAGGTTGTAGCTCCCGAAAATTTACTTGTGAGTTGGTTTCTCTGTCGGCACCTTCTTTTGTAGCGCGTGGGCATTGCCATGCAACATCTGGGTCTGCAACCGGCCGCTACTTACACTTAAATGGTGAGGGACTGCGTATCGAGTCCAGTGTACGTGCACAGCGCAGGAAAGTGTTCGGGAATGTAGGGGCACAACTTCTGGTGCTGCTGCACCTGACGGATCTCCGAGCGCGCGCGAGTCGGGTTGTCAGGTTTTTCGGTTCGGCACTTCGGCGTTTCGGGGACTATCAAGGCCGCAATCCGTTGCAGTGTTGGTTGCAGCCTAGTAGCATCGGCAGTTTTGCTATGGTTGCTGCCGTCGCGTCCGCGTCAGTAAGAGGAGTAGCACTGCCGGCGCGCATCGGTGTGTTTTTGCTTGGTCGATTCGGATTTCCGCGCGCGTGCGCGAGTGGTTTGCAAATCCTGCTTGAACTTGGTTGTCAAGTCTCTGCATAGCGTCGTGTCCTTTGCTGAGGATCCGAATGGACCTTGGCTCTCGGGTGCCGCATTCCAACCCTGCAGCCATACCTGTCAGAAAGAGGGCTTCGCGAATTGTGGCAAGGAAGAGATGGCAGCAATAAACTCCTCAGCCGCGCTCTTCACGTTGACGTCCCATCTCAACCTGACATGCAATCCACCGACAGGGCCTCCCTTCCGGGATGGCGGAGGGACTCCGTTCACCACAACGAGTGGGAGTTGCTATTACTGGGACCCGAGCAAGCCTGCGGACGAGGTGGATTGCGACACCGTTTTGAATTCAGGTCGACAGCCCATGTGCTACTGCGTCCCTGATGCTTGGTTGCAGATAGCCCATATGTCAGCTCAGACGAAAGTGAGTGGACCAGTTAACTCCCAGATACTGTTGCTGTCTCAGGGTCCGCCAGCTGCTTGGCAGCACAAGATTGCCGATTGCTGACTGATGTTTCCTCATGCTGAGTAGATGTGGGCATGCCGTAGTCGTGTGGATGCTGGTGTTGTTTGTCGTTGTTTGCCCCCTCGCAACCAGGCACCTATTCCTGCTGCTCGTTTGCATCGATGGTTTGGCACCCTTGAAGTGCGAGTCTCGAGTAGAGAAGATGAGCTGCAGATAAAGGTTGAGGCACCAAGACAGAAGCGCTCTGTGCTTAGGAGATCTAGTCTCGGTCCCTGTGCCACTCATTACGTCTTGCTGGTGACTCCTCTGTTTCATGCTTCAACCCAAGAAATGAAATTCAGTCGAGAATCGCATTCCGCACTGAGGGGCCACCTGAAAACTGGATCTCGGCCGCTGCAAACCAACCCTGCGATACCGCTTGCTTGAATGCGGGCTTTGACGAGTGCGGCCAGGAGGAGATGGCTGCTATCAATTCCACCGCGACACTGAAGACATTGCTCTCCCTTCTCAATCTTACATGCACCCCACCAGCGACTGGCAGCCCCTTCAGGGATGGCGGCGGCAGTCCCTTCACAACGACGAGTGGAAGTTGCTACTACTGGGACCCCACAGAACCCGCGTCCAGCGTGGACTGCTCAACTGTGCAGTTCTCAGGGCGAAAGCCTTTGTGCTACTGCAAAGCTTTCGAAGACTAGCTGGCTTCGACAGACCGGTGACAGACCGTTTGCCGTTTGCCTCTCATAGTGTTCCCCTTCATTGGAGTGCGAACGACAACTCTCATCAGGCGAGTCCATGCGCTCCCACTGCAAAGGTTCGACCTGATACAGGCTGCGAAGCCAGCGGCAGAGTTTTGCAAACAACAGGCAAAGACCTGAGCAAAGGCACACAAGGAATGCCACAAGGATTGTAAGATGCTGTACTCTGAGAGGTGTTTCTGAGTTCGCATGAGCGTGGGGGTCGTCATCAGTTATTCATGAGAACCACGAATCGCTATGCTACAAGACTGCATTGCACATTCCTTACAGGACAGGCGAGCCCTAGCTCAGATTGCACATGCCTCTTCTCGTGAAATGCCGGCGGTTGCCAAAGGGCAGCCTTCGAAGTGTCAGCTGCCAGAAGCAGAGGCGTATGCATACAAAAGAGTGCTCCTGGCGCAACATGTATGCCGTATTATCCAGCAACTGGTCAGCACTCCAACAAGTTTATGTCGAAGTTCTGGATACAAGTTGTCTGTAGTTCACTTTGTGCTACCCATGCTGCGACACTTCCATCTGATGCTGTTGTCCTGCCTTTGCACTCTGCAATTAGGCAGGCTGTGCCGGTTCCTTAATCGTGTTGTTGCTTTCGACTTGAGGGCTCCGCGGTTTTGTCGCGCTAATGCAGCTAAGCTACAAGTGATGCGGCTGCCTCGGCTCGAGCATCGAAAAGCAGAGTCCGCAGATTATCGAGATGGAAGCAGAGAATCTCGAAGACGAGTTGCCGTACAGCCAGCGGGAGTCGTGGAAGGCGTTGCCTACATTAGCAGCTCGTGCGTAGTTCTAGTCGTGTTGGTGAATTGGCATGCAAGACATCGGCTCTGAAAAGCCTTGTTTCTGCAGGTGTGGTCCTTTCAAGTCAGCACGAATCGTGAGTTGCCGCCTGTTACTGTTCTGCTTCAGCTCAACGCTAGCGCAGGATATTTCTCCCATTCCGCAAAACGACGGTCCACATCCTCTTGCAGCTTCTTGGGCCTGCCATGCTTCCGAAATGCTGTAGTTCTACTTGGAAGTGTGCGGTTCGTGTCTGGCATGGCCAGCAAAGGTGATAAAGTATCCGTTGGGCTTCGAAGAGGCAACATGACAGACTTTGGAGGAGTTTAGTTTACCGCATACTGTGGTTCCAGACTGTGGCTGTTCCAACTATCGAGGTTCACAGCTATTTTCGGGCGATTCAGCAGCGCAATGAGACCAGCGAGAGGGCACTGCACTTGACTGCTGATGTTATCGAGCATAACTCAGCCAACTACACCGCTTGGTACTATCGGCGGCGGTGCCTCAAAGATTTGGGCATCGACCTGGAAGAGGAGCGCGTGTTCACTGACAAGTGGGCTAGAGACTGCCCGAAGAACTACCAGGCCATGTCGTCATGCAGTGGGAAGCGAGGGTGGAGGTCACCAGAATCGCTCCGTTTTTCTCTGAAGGTCTGGTACCACAGGCGGTGGCTCGTGTCGGAGATGGCGGCGCGAGCCCGTGCCCACACGCCAGGCCCAGAAGCCGAGGCGACCATCCAGCAAATAGCCAAGACCGAGCTGGACTATCACTTGGCAGCTGGGGCTCGCAGTACTCCTAAAAGACGTAGGAACTGCTTAGATCAGTTGCCCTTTCCGTGTCCTTCTTTTTGAGGTACATGGTTTGAGCTTGTTGTGGGCCCGGGCTGCCTGTGTCATGAGGAGTGCATGCGGGTGAACAGTGACTACAAGAATTACAACGGCTGGTGCTGCCTTCAGTGGTCAGGGCAGCTTCGAGACGCATGCTTGCGCTGTGCTGCTGACATTCGCACCAAGGTCTCACCGACAGTACATACTGCAGCACTTCAATATGTGGCATGAAGAGCTCCCTTTCGTGGAGCTCTTGTTGGAAGAAGACATCCGCAACAATTCTGCCTGGAACCATAGGCCGGCGGGCCGCCGGTTCAGCCTCGCCTCGCGTCCTTTGCGTTTTCTGTTGAACGCGCACGCTGGGAGGTACACAGTGGTTCGAAATCAAAGCTGGCCACTGACAGACAGCATTCGTGATCGTGAGCTGGCTTTTGCCATGCAAGCGATCCGGAAATGTGCAAGCAATGAGTGTGCCTGGAACTATTTGTCCGCATTCCTGGGCGAAGGAGATGGGAAGGTCGGCCGGGCCGCAAAGCCAAGTCTTCAGTTTGCATTGCCAATCACCAGTGGATGCAGGTTCCCTGGACTTCGGCACCGGCGCTTGAGATGCTCTGTCGCGAGGCAACCAGCAAGACTGTTTTCGTTGCTGGTTGCACGCAGTGCATTGCGGAGGTGATTCATGCCGCAGAGAATCAGGGCCCATCCTGCTGCTTTGCCATCCAAGCCCTCGCCAACATCCACGAGGAATCGGCAGCATTTCTGCGCTGACAGCTTCTATTGTCGTGTTTGCGAGGCAAGGGGAGAAGTCCAAGCAGCCCTTGACCAGTACGAGAGGCTGAAGGAACTGGATAGAATACGGGCGAAGTATTGGTGTTGGCGTGTCCTTGCCTTACTCGGCTGGCATGAACACAGGAATGCCATACTTTTACCATGCAAAGCCACCTCTCATTGCATGTAGAGCTGAGGCCGATTATTTGAAGCAGAAGGTGAAAGGCATCAGCTGAGTAGTGCCAGAAAGCGTTCCGTCCACAGTAGGTACTTGTACAGCAGATGCCGCGTCGAAAGCTGTCAGCGCACACCGCCTAGGGTACTTTGATGCTGGGTTGGTTTGCAGTTTGTATTGTGGAGAGATGTCCGAGATGTAATTTCAGCAGGGCTCAAGGAGTGACCGAGGCCTCCTTGGAGGATCTTAGGTCCCTCTTTAAGATGCCTCGGAGCGGCATGGCGGGTGCATCGTCCCAAGCGGCTTCTGTGCCTTGGGCATTTCGTTGTCACGCCTGCGTTCCTAGCTGGAGATCGCACGAAGCTTCTGAGTCTCCCAGTTCGCTGTTCAGCGGCCTTTTCATCTCAGGTCGGGGGCTTGGCTTTGGGAGCATCTCGCGGTGCACATCCCACGATGCGATTGGATTCCTTCTTGAAATCCACCGACCCCGGATATCAGCATGCAGAGGCTTCTGAGAATCTTCTTGTTTGGAAGACGTCTGCGACCCGCCTTCCGTGGAGGCGCCCGCGCAGGGAGATCGCTTCATCAGGAAGATGGCCAGACCCCAAGACGACAAAGTCAGAGGCACCCTTTGGCCCTCACGGTAGCCCTTGGTGCCCGGAAGCAACATCGTGGCATAAGTGTTAAGTGTGCGATTTCGTGTGGCTCGAACAAGGCCACATATGGGCAGATTCGCCCTTCCGTCAGCTTTGTGAGCGAAGCCCGCGTTATCCGACCGGTCAAGGCTAGGGAGTCTGGTGCCTGCAGACCCGAAATTTGAGAGTGGTTCATGGGTTTCAAACCCTCAGTCGACGAGGAATGTGGCGCAATGGATATGTCCATTTTGCCACACCCGCTGATGGACCCAAAGGGCGATCCTCGCGAAGGGACCTTTGAGATCCCGCCTCCACCTGAAGAAGTTGACGATTCCTTCATCAAAATGTGCTCCTCTTACTCATGTCAACGGAGTTTACGGTGTCCAGGCATTGGTGAACCTTTACTTTCTGCCGGCAGGTATCAGAATCACAGCCTGATGCTTCCATCCGAGCGGTACAAGGAGCATCTCCTCATGAAAGCTGGTGAAAAGAAGTGGCGAGAGGAAAGGGACGCAGTGTTTCGATATCGTAAGCGCATGACGGTCCTGGAGCGGAAGCACCCGGAAGTGAATGTCTCAGCTTGACCGTGGAGAGAAGTGCATGGCAGCCCCAAGCCATGACTTGACCAATGATTCAGCATCTCCTGTGCGACCAAGGGTATCCTGGGAATTGATGGACCCACGCATCCGGATACCTTGCTGTACAAAGATCGTTATCAGCATTTGGCTGCACAGGCGGGGCATCACTCGGAGTGCGATGCATTTGCGACCATCGCAGTTTGTCGGGGCTTTGCAGGCAGAGCGCAAGGCAAACATTGCCGAGAATCGCTTTGCAAACTTACACGCGCAGAATTATTCAGACGACGCAGTGGCAATGCGAAGCCATGGCACTGATCCGGGCCTGGAGCGCTCTAAGGTCCGGTGCATTCGCTTGACATGCAGTATGTTTGTCGGGACGTCTTTGTGGTGCTCTCGGCAGGACATTTGTATTCAGCGAAAATGCATCGATCCCGAGCAACATCCATTTCGATTTCTTGATACGCACGCACGCCTCTTTCCGAAATATTCGCCGGTCGGCGCCTCACGAACAAGCCAGCCCCAGCAACCTCCCGCTGCCTTTGAGTTCCTGCTCAGACCTGGGACCCTGAACGAGCCGCAGCCCTGCGCAGTGACGAGCCTAGTCACATGCTCACTTCGTGCGATGCTCCGGAGGCTTTGCCTGCCTTGCTGGCAGAATCTTGCTTTGCCTTGCGAGTCGGTTCTGCAGTGCCGGTGCCGCCTGGTCTGACGGTTTTGAGGTCACGACGTCAGGGCTGCTCAGCTTGATCCCGCGAGTGTTGCACGAGCAGACAGTTTTGCAAATCCTCAGTGTCTGCCGAGTCTCCAGAAAGCATCTGCAACAGGACAGGCAGCACAACATCATCAATGGCGCACGCAACGAATTGACGTACGACGTTGCACTCCCATGGGAGGAGGCCGAGAACTCAATATCTAATGCTCATGTACAGTAACGGAGCACATGGATGTGCGAGACTCCTGCCCTTGCCAACATGGGCTCACGTCATTGCATCAGGTCCAGCAGCAAGCAGTGCAGCGTCGGGTTGCTGAAGCTGCAAAGACTGCCACTCGAAGCATGAGCAGCCATGAGATTTGATCTCAGCAGTGCCACGTAGTGTCATCTCTGAGACAACAAGATTGATAATGACCTTGTACAGTCTTTGCGGGCAACCAGGCAGGTCAAGCACAGTCGTCCCATGCCTTACACCGCCCAGTATCCGTTTCACACAGCTTGAGCATGCCTTTTTGCTGTTACCAAAAATCTTGGTGCAGCTACCCAGCTGACCTACACGGGTTGCACGTGTCACCTCGCATTGAAAATGGAGCACGGTATGGCACCCATCCACAAACACATGCAGCCATGTGTGGATCCTTGCTGGCCAATGTTAGCTATACGGGCATCCTTCCTGTTGGCTCAGGTTTGGTTTCAGCCCAGGAGGCTAGGGAAAGCTGCCCATGCCGCGCCGATGAACCGGAAGGGCTGACGCCATGAAGCAGAAGAGACCGCAGCAGCATGCACACAACAAGCCCGTTGTCAAAGAGTATCGCACGAGAGTGACGTGCGGAAGAGTGTCTGGCAAGGTGGCCACCTGGCAAGGTGAGGAGGGATGGATCCGACCGGATGCCAAGATCAATCATGGCTTGAGCTCCAAGAACAGCGGCTTGGTACTGGTTAGGCGGAAGGATGTCTCTGCGGGTCAGGCTTTGAAGCCCGGTGAAGCGGTGGACTTCCTGGTCTACTCCGAAGTCGCTGAAGGCGGTCGCTTGGGTGCCGAGTTCTGTCGGCTTGTGCCCGGCAAGAGCCAGCCCAGCCCAGCCGGCCAAGGCCAGCCCGAAAGGCCACAGCCTCCACAGCCGAAGGCATCACCGGTGAAGCCACTGGTGAAGCCAGCACAGAAAGTTCTGCAGCTGCACCTCAAGAAGCCAGAAGTGCCGGTGCTCAAGAAGCCAGAGCCGCCGACACTCATGAAGCCAGTTCCGAAGAAGGGCGGGAAACCCAAAGGAGCGACTCTGGGCAAAAGCGGGAAGCCATCCATCCAGAATGTCACTACCGGCAAAGATGGGAAGAAGTCTGGAGCAGCGATGACACCTGGAAAGGGACCTCCAGCAACTGCTGCCAAGGGGTTCAATGCAAATGCCATGACTGCTGCACCCCCATCTGCCGATGGCTTTAAAGCCAAATCGAAGCTGCCGCGACAACAGATCGGCACAGCTGAGCAGAGTGGCCAGCTTCACGAATGGTGGGGCAAGTATGGCTGGATCATACCGGACAAGCCTGTCAACCATCCTGGCGCTAGCAAACGCCAGGGAAAAGTTTATGTTCATATCTCCGACATGGAGGACGACAGCGTGACGGTAATGCCCGGTTGCCGCGTGTCCTTCCTGCTGTACGCCCGAGGCTAAGTTTCGCGGGAAAGATCGAGTGAGGGCATGAGGTCGGGTGCGGCTTTCGCACTGTCAGGTGGACAACAGCGGCCTCGGGGCGCAGAACTGCAGGATTGTGGACAGCCTTCCAGGAGGTGTGGTACTGTTGTGGCATTCTTGTAGCCATGTAACTACTCGTGGCGCTTCAGGCAAAGGCTTGCAAAACGCAGGGCCCAAGGCTCGAGTACCGGTTTGCAAGATGTCGCTTGCAGCTGCTCTTTGCGCACGAATTGGTGCAGACCGGTTACAACAAGTGGCAGTCCGGTTACCAGCCTTGGGCCCAAGCTTCTCAAGCTCATAAGAGGAAGACTTGACTTGTAGCTGCTACAGGCAAGCCGACGGCTGGCAGTCCCAGTCCCAGGAAGCTCAGGAAGAGGAAGGCCTGCCTCCTGACTGGGAGGAGCCTGGCAGCCAGACATGTCCACAGAGCTCGTGCCTAATTTGATTCGCTTCGGAGGAGCATTGGTCGGACGAGTATGATGTCCCGTACTTCTGGAACAAGAAGACCAAGGAATTCCAGAGCTGTAGACGATAGCCTTCTGCAAGTGATGTTGGTTAGGGGAGCTTGTGCCAGGAGTCCGTGTGGGTGAGACCTCAATGAGTTCAAACAGTTGGCCAAAATCTGGCTCACCCCGCTTGTAATGTCATGGTTCCGGGTGCAGATTTTGATGTACACATCGTCGTCACGCGCCTCGAGAGCCTCGCTAGACTCCCGTGCTGGCCTGTCACGGGCCACTGGCTTGTCGTACGGGTGCGCCTAGTATGACAAGTTGACCGACGAAATAGCTTGAAACAGCGGCGAGGCAAACAGATTCCTGTACTGACCATGGTCAAGTTGAAATCCGAAAACGTCATGCTTCCAGGCCTGCAGTGAGGTTGCCGATACGAAGTCAATAAGTGACAAAGAAGAGCCCTGCTTTTCCCTTTGATTTTATAGTTTAGTTCCTTTCCTTTTTTCGTTGGTCTTTTTATTTAAAGTTCCTTTGCGACTTCATTGCTTGTATTTCAATTGGCCAAAAGACAGAAGGAAATAGGAGTTGGAAATACGAAACCCAGCAAGGGGTACGACAAGGCGAATGGAGCCCTGCCAGGGCTTCGGCACTTTGAAATCCCAACTTTTCGCAGGGTGGTGGCAGATACACGATTTATCATGCGGGCCACCCTAGCATACGCGCGACACCGTAATGGAAATCAAATAAAGATTGGCTTAAAATCGGTATTCCAACACAACTCTCGGAATCATCCCCACGTGCTGAGAATCAAATCTTATATATCTGATAATATATATTTCTTTTATTTTCGGAAAAGGGAGACTTTCAGACCTTTGGGCCATTTATATTTGATCTGTCTTGAAAATTTGAATATTTGAGAATTTTTTTATTGAAATGAAAAAGATAATTATTTTCGTGATTTCGACATTTCGCTTCATACTATTATGTAAATAAAATATAAGAGATTTCTATTCGTGATATTTATTATAGATTACTATAATTTTCTAGATTTAATAGAATTAAAAATTCGAATAATACATATATAGCTTGATTTAGAAAAATAAATAAAATATAAAAAAATATAATAATAATAATAA